GATTAAATCTCTCAGATTTTTTCTGTCTGAAAAATATCACTATTTTGCCTTTATCTTAATGCAGATTCTCATTTTAAAGATGTCATTCCACTGTATTCTGGCCTCCACTGTTTCTGACTAAAAGACAGCCAGCTTTTTGTTGTTGCTCCCCTGAACATAATGCGCCCTTTTCTCTCACTGCTTTAAGATGTTCTTTTTACTTTGATTTACAGCAGTTTGACTATGATGTGTGTAGATATGGTTCTCTTTTTATTTATCCAGGGTTTGCTGAATTTCTGGGACCTGTGGATTGACTTATTTCACCCATTTTAGAAAATTCTTGGCCATTGTCTCCTCAAATATTTATTTTGTTCCATTCTCTCTGTTTTTTTTTTTTTTTTTTGAGGAAAATCAGCCCTGAGCTAACATCCATGCCAATCCTCCTCTTTCTGCTGAGGAAGACTGGCCCTGAGCTAACATCTATTGCCAGTCTTCCTCCTTCTTTCCCTTTTTCTCCCCAAGGCCCCAGTAGATAGTTGTATGTCATAGTTGCACATCCTTCTAGTTGCTGTATGTGGGATGCGGCCTCAGCATGGCCGGACAAGCAGTGCGTCCGTGCATGCCCGGGATCCGAACCCAGGCCACCAGTAGTGGAGTGCGCACACTTAACTGCTAAGCCATGGGGCCAGCCCCTTCTCTCTCTCTCTTTACCTCTAATTTCACATGTTAGACCACATATTGTCTCAGATGGTTCAGGTTTTTTAATCTATTTTTTCTCCTAATGCTTCAGTTGAATAATTTCTATTGCTCTCTCTTCAAGTTCACTGATCCTTTATCATGCTGTGTCCAGTCTGATGCTGAGAATATCAAATGAATTCTTCATTTTTGAACTGAATATTTCAATTCTAGAATTTCTGCTTGGTTATTCTTTTTTTAATTTTCATTTCTCTGCTGACTTTCCCATCTGTTTTATGCACCTTTTTCACTAAATCATCTAATATATTGATAATAGTTATTATTAAGTCCTCATCTGCAAATTCCAATATCTGGAATATCTGTTTTTTCTGCTCTTACTTTTTTTTTTTCTTTTTTACAAATAATCCTAACATTTTTTGTTGTTGTTGTTGTTTTTAAGAAGATTGGCCCTACACTAACATCTGCTGCCAATCTTCCTCTTTTTTTTCCTTTTTTCTTCCCAAAGCCCCAGTACAGAGTTGTGTATCATAGTTGTAGAGTTGTGGCTCTTCTACATGGGACACTGCCTCAGCATGGCTTGACAAGCGGTGAGTAGGTCTGCACCCAGGATCTGAACCATGAACCCCGGGCCGCTGAAGCAGAGCATGCAAACTTAACCACTATGCCACCAGGCTGGCCCCTCTGCTCTTATTTTTAATCTAGATTTTGGGTAACTGTAATTTTGCCTTGTAATTTTTATTACATTCCAGGCATTGTAGGTAAAAGAATAGTAGGGACTGATGTAGTAACATCCTGGAGAGGGCAATCTTCTTCCTCTTCCAGGCTTCTTGGGTGGGGAGGCTGGATTACTCTGTTGTTAAACTGGGGTTGTGCTTTGTTGTAGTTTTTGTTTTTTAAGATTCCTTTTATCCTGGTCTTAGGATTTGAGAGCAGAATCAAGACTTTTCCTTCAGCAGACTTCGAGCACCTCTAGTGGCCATTATATGGGTTTTAGTCCATCTGACAGTTTTTCAAGCCACAGGACTCTTTCTGCTTTCTGAACCATCCATCAGCTTTCTGAGTTGGTGAGGATTTCACTTTGCTCTCAGGCTCTGCCCTGGGCTTTCTGTATCTTAGGAGCCTTCATTCCACCCCGACTCCCCGCCCCAGGCCTCAGCTAGCCACTGCCTTACTTTAGATGAAGGTCCCTCGTGCCTAGGGAAGACCTTTCTCAGCCCTGTTTCCTCAGGCTGCTGCCTTTCACTCAGTGAGACCCGTGCACCTCGGGGATTTCCTGCCCTCCTCCTGACCTGCAGGCTGCAGCAGTCACGCCCTCAGTGAGGCCACGTGCCTCCAAAGATGTCTCTCAGCTCTTCTGTTCTGCCCCACGCCTCTAGCTAACTGCTGCCTTTCACCGTGTGAGAGCCCTATGCACGTCTTGGAGAATTTCTCTTAGCCCACTTGCCCCCAGCCTCTGGCATGCCTCCAAGCACTCAGTGAGGCCCCAGGGGAAAGAATCGGCTGGTGGTTGACAGCTCACAGAGACTCAGGCTCCCTCCCTGGAATCCTGAGCCCTGATGCCAGCCAGCCCTTGTCTGTTAACAGTTGGTTAAAGAGTTGGGCTCTTTTCTTTCTATCCCCTTCTACAGCCTGACTGCTCCTCTTCTGCTGCAGACCCGGGATGAATGCACGGGTCTCTTCTCTTTTAGAAAGGGCTTGCCCACCTCCAGAATTAGGATCATTTAGATTTCTTGGCATCCTCAGCTCACTGGTGGGTTTTTACGAATTATTGATTTTGCATCTTACTCAACTTATTCTCATTGTCACAACTTCCTACATCCTAACTGGAAGCAGAAGACTTTGCCTCTTCTTCCTTTTTTTTAAACATTTACTACATATTATTTTCTGTTAATAAAATATTAAAACTTTTTAGAGAAAATATTTGGATAATGTGGAAAATAAAAAAGGGAGGAGAAGAAAAATCTCCTGATTTCCTACCAAACAGAAAGAAACACTGTGTGCCATGTATTTCTTTTCATTCTATTAGGCATCATTTCCTATTGTTTTGAGCACCTGCATTCCCAATTTATATATGTTCATTACCTGATTTTTTATCAGTTAACTGTATAAGAAAAGAATTTCACAAGGCCACAAACTCTTTACAAAATATATATATATATATATATATATGAGCTTTGCATTGGAAATTTAAATTCTTTGGACTATTCACTATAATAATTAATGTTTCAATGAATTTTTTTCCCATTCAGTTCCCCCACTCCAAATCCTTATGCTTGAATCTTAGAAGTAAAATTATAAGATCGAAGGATATGACCCCTTTGAGGTTTTTTAAAATATATTGCTAAATTGCTTTCTAAAAATTCATATAGCCTTTAGACATGAGATATATTATATGGTAATTTCTACGCCATGCTACTGTTTTAACTATCCTACTCTAAAGAATTTAATAACCTCATGGCCTATCATAAGAGTTCCTTCCCTTCTTTTTATTAAAATTTATTATCTCAGTTTGTCAGACCAATGATACGGAAATTATTTAAAGAAAAAAATAATAGATGTTTAAAAATCTTCGTCTTATTTCCCAAATAAGATGTGGCATTTATTGTAAATGCACATTATTTTTTTTACTTTTTCTTCCTTATACAAAAACTCTCATTATTAATTAATAATTAATTAATAATTAATATCTCATAAATATGTAATATCATTTTGCCCTACAGTGTATCAAAACTTCAGGAGACATCCAGTTTTCTTACTAAAGGATATTTAGTTTTCTTAAGTTTTCTCAAATTATTGCTTAAGGGTTATAAACAATAGAAAACACTTTTTATATTTTTAATTAAGGAGATAAAATTATGCTAACAAAATTTTTCAAATTTTTCAGTTAACTTTTAAGTCATTTTTATATTAAATAGTACAGATCTTGGGAATATTATGATCCTTAGCTTTTGTGATTCTTGGAACACACAGTAATCACAAAGAACAGTTATAAGATTAGAGCTCAGTGTAAATAAAACTGTGATTTAATTTAATGGCCATTTAAAAGCTGTGAAAGGCTTGCATTTGTCATCATTTAATGTACAAAAAATTCACCACAGAGTACACTAAATGTTGTGAATGCTTATTTCTGTTAATGAAATCTAAATTATTTTAAAGAACTTTAATTAACTCAATATTGGCCTCAGTTCCATCGTAGAGCACGTAACAATCTCCTCACACTGACTGATTTTATCTAAGAAGCTTGTCAACGATGAAATTCAAAACTGAAGGTCTTTCAGCCACTTACTAACAAGCTCATTAAGGTGGTAGTGCTTTGTGTTAGAAAAGAAGAAAGTTAAGAAAAGAAGTTCTGAAATTAATGCAAAATCAAAGAAATACTCAACTCATCATTCTCCCCCTACTGCTCACACCCCCTCCTCCCAAAAAAAAAATCATCAAGCCAAAGAAAAATGTCTAAGGGTGGGAGAGTTTATCTATAATGACACTCTCAGGGTCCTCATAAAAACCATTTACACATCAATTTACCATTCATATCAATTTACTCATCACATGCATACGTCATCTTACATTTGACTCACGAGGTCTGAGTGATATGAATTTAAGCATGACTTTTAAAGCACCTCGTATAACTTAAAAGTAACTGTCTAGAAGTTTTCAAAGTTTACATAGGATTTCTATGCTGCAAACAGCACTGACGAGAAATCTGGGGAGCAGGATTTTCCTGTGGACTCTGCCGCCAGTGAGCTGTGTCACTGCCCACCTCTTGATCTCTGGTTCTGATGGACTCATGTTCAATTAAGGGCTCGTCTGGAAGCCCTGAACGACACCCTGGCTCCGCTTTAGCTAATCTTTCACATACCAACGAGTCACCTACTGGAAAATCTGATGAGACGGAACATACATCTCCAAATACAAAGCTGCTCCAGGAATGCAGAGCGAGCTGAGAGGTGGCCATTCATAGCCAACAAGAGGAAACCATGAACCCTATTGCTGATTACCTACTTGGATTTTTATACATAATATAATATAGCATAACACAATGTAATGTATTATGTGTGTGTAATAATACACACACATATGCCTATTTATAAGTACATATGAATATATCTCAACCAAGTAACTAACCTAAAGAAAATACCAGAATGCTTCAGGTCCTAGACCTTGCCTTAAGGCATCCGAAAAGATCCCAACCTTGCTCTTATCTTTTATGCTCTTTGTGTCATAGAATAAGAGGCTTTTTATATACCATGATTGACAATCAAGAATTGCATAAAAACATTATTCTGCTTTCCCTTAGGGGTTCGCAAATACAAAAATACCGTTACCTTTCCTATGCTGGTATCTGGCTGCAGAAAGCGAAGGCAGTCTGAATAATTAGCCCATGTTTTATTTAAACTGTGCATAAAATCCCATGTTCCATTGGGGTTACAGTGTCGGAAAGCAACTCCTGTAAAGACATGAAGAAAAACACTGAGATTGCTCAGGTCACTTAGAGTCCATTACAAAAATAAAAAGTTCCAAATTAATCATTTCAGAAAAATTCAATACCTTTATGATTGAAGTCATAAATATAAGGAGGGCATGGGACAGCCGAGATTTTCCCCACTGTTCCTCTGGGCCAACATATGAGTCCATCCCATTCTGGAAAACAATTTCCCTCTGATAAGGAAAAAAATTAAAAAGGAAATAAACAAAAATGCAGTTGGAACCAGAGAGAAAATGCATTCAAAATACAAAATTTCAGGTCACTGCCGGTGGCAAAATGTAAAACAAATTGGTAGTTTGGGAAAATAGAATGGGGTAAATATGATGCAAATATCCCAGAATTCATCTTCCTAGCCTCATCAAGGGCCCACTAATAGGAACATTTGATTTGCATAAATTAAAAATATTTTAGTGATTCCTATATATATGTTATAGCAGTTATAGCAATTAATATACAAGAAAATTGAAATTCATTGTGAACAACGTCTGTAGTAAAACTCCCCCAACTATCATACTTGTAGCTACATTTTTTACCCTAGATTTTTTTAAATTACTGTTAAAAAAATATGACGCATGAAACAGATTGAGCTTCATGGGTAAGCTCCAAGATTGGGGTTTACCTTTTTACCAATAATTTTAATAATTTCTTTGAGTCTGATACTCGTCTCAAAGAACATTCTCATAAGCTCTACTCTCCTGGAGACGCATCCAGACCCTGCCGCTTCTCACAGCCTCCGCTGCACCACACGGTCCAGGCCGCCTCATCTCCAGCCTGCATTAATGCAGCAGCTGCCACTGGCCTTCCTGAGTCCATTCCTGCTATCCTTTCATTTACTCTTCACAATAGCCCAAGTCCTCCCAAGACTTCCCATCTCACTCTGAGCAAAGGCCATGTCTTTACGAGGTCTGAAGGCCCTACAGGGTCTGCTCTCTCCCCTGGCTTATCCCCCTGACCTCAGCTCCTGCTAAGGTCCTTCTTGCTCTTCCCTGACTTCCACGCCATTCCCCTAGATAGCCCCAAGGCCTATTCCCTCATCTCCTACAGATTTCTACTCAAATGTCAATTCTGAGTAAAGTTTCCCCATTTAACAGTGCACCCCAAAACACTCCCTGTCCCCTTTCCTGCAGTATTTTTCACCTGAGCTCTCATCACCTTCCAGTATTAAGTGTTATTTTATTATCGCTTTCCTAAACCCTGAGAGCGGGGAGTTTCTTCTCTTTTGTTTCACACATTAGCCACGTTCTTGAAACAGCACCCGATGCCTGATAGGGGCTTAACAAACACTCAGTCAATGTCAATACTCTGTTCTCCAAGATTCCTCTCCACGAGTTGTGTATTGAACTTCCAAGAAGAGAGCATATCAGCCAGGTCATACCCCAAATTCCCAAAAAGAGACTACTTTTAATGAGTGCTGTATTCGTTTTCTATTGTTGTTACCCAAAAAATTACCACAAACTTAGTGGCTTCAAATAACCCAAATTTATTATCTCATTATTTCGGTAGATCAGAAGCCCAGTGACCTCGGCTGGATCTCTGCTCATAGACCACAAGACAGAAAGCAAGGGCTGGGCTGGCTGCATTGCTTGCTGAGGACCTGGGGGAGAAGCAGCTTCCTTGCTCATTCCAGTTGCTGGCAGAATTCAGCTCCTTGCACTTGTAGGACTGAGGTCCCCGCTTCCTTGCTGGTTGTCAGCTGAGGGCCATTCCCAACGTCTAGAAGCCACTTGCATCCCTCAGCCGGTGGCCCCTTTCCTCCGTCTTCAAAGTCAGCAAGGCAGGTTGAATCATCACATTTCGAGTCTCCCCCACTCTCCATTTCTCAGACTCACTCTCTGTCTTTCTCTTCCACTTCTAAGTGTCCCTGTGATTACACTGGGCTCATCCAGATAATCCAGAATAATTCACCCTATTTTAAGGTCCATAACCTTAATTCCATCTGCAATGCCCCTTTGCCATGTAACATAACATACACAGGATAATACCAGATAACAGGGCATGGATGTCTCTGGGGGGCCACTATTCTGCCCCCACAAGTACTATCCATTATAGCTCTCTCAATTTTTAGTCACCAATTACACTAAGGTAACGCTGAGGATTTCTGTTCTAGCTAATGTTCATGATGCCAAGTGATCTGATCAGTTTCGAATAATCAGCATAACAGAACCTCACACAAAGACTGCTCTCTACATAAAAGAATTCAGCCAGAACCTGAAGTTAACTCCTTAGTGTCACCATACCACTAGGAGCACATACTCCATTTGCTTTGCACACTGCTGAAGCCATAAGAAAGGAAAATGTCTTTCCTCGCCCACACTCCCCAGAGAAGAGAACATCTTGGAAACAGCCTCACTTTGCTCATAAAAGCCTGCACTTTACATATCACGAGCGACCCAGGAACTCATCACACTGGCTTCTGCTTCCGGTGCACAGCCGCACCGGCCTCTTTCCACCATTACCTGCCCTGTGTTTGTCTGTGTTCCTTCTTGTTTACACAGTGTAAGAGTCAACCTCTCATCAGCTTTGCCCTCGACACTCCTCCCACGTTGATACCACTCCATGTGGCTTCCCACCCGCTCACGTAGTCTTTAACAGTCACCCACCCTTATTCATCTGGACGGTCCAATCCTTGGCTAGATATCAGTTGTGCCATCTACATAAATTGGACCTCGACACACATTCTTGTGTTCCTGTAACTAGTTGTCCCTCTAAAATGCAGGCTGCAATGTCGTGTGAGATTTCCTGGCAAGAGTTAGTTACATGATGGAATAAGATCTTCACACAAGTCCAAAATCCAATGACCAGTGTACTCTATAATTACATAGTTTTTAAACTGCTATGCAGAAAACTCTGCTGATTTTTTTCCTCATGCTCTAAAAGGGACAGTTTTCTAGTTTCCTGCAAGATACCACCCCCCACATGTACACACACAGGCATACCCCCAAAACTCAGAAAAGCAATACTCCCCCAAAATGATGTTTCTGTAGATCATGATCATCTCTCTGGTGGTTCTTTGACAAAGAGAAGGATAAATATTCACAAAAGGTTGAAAAGATTAGGGAAGCTAGGACCTCCACAGATAATAGATCTTAATTAACATCTTTGATCATCATTTCTCATTCTATGTGAGTAAATACTTTCATTATACAGCAACAAACTAATTAATTGCCTAATGACTCACCAATCTCCCTTTATAAATTAGCACCATTAATTACATTCCCTGCAATCTTCTATGTGAGCCAGGACAAACTAATTATTAGTGAAGCTTGTCAACCACAATATTTACAGGACAATCTGCAATATGGAGAATCTAACGTTGTCTCTTTTCAGTCCTACAGCTGCCCGTAACACATGACTACACATTTGGGAAGTGGAGCCGGGACCAATCATATATTGGTTTTTGTTTTAAACACTTGAACAGTTTCATAACCAGGTATTTGCATGCACACTTCCTTTTCTTTTTTCACAGTCATTAGGAAAAATTTTATTTCCTTTCTATTATAAAATTTTTTTCAGAAATAAACATAGAATATTATATATCCATCATCAAAAACTGACAGCTATTACTATTTTACCATGTTTATTTCATCTAATTTATTTTTACTGTGGTATTTTAAAGTAAATTGCAGACAGCATAACAGCTCGCTCCTAAATATTTTGATATGCATCTCTCAATTTTAGGAGAATTTGGAAAGAAAAAGTTCTTAAATTAGCTAGTGAATTAAAAATGTCATTCCAGTCTTTTACACTTATAAAGTGAAGAAATTTTTAGCCAATTTACATATAATTAGACATTTTCATGGAATGGTAGAACAAAGTTTGACCAGATTTAATTCTATCCTATTTGTACAGAGAAAGATCTCAAAGAAGTGTCTTTTCTCTTTTAATATTTTTCATCCACTTGTTCCCCCTGATTCACATCTTCACAAATTTTAGATGTTCCACAAGGTTACACTAGACCATTTACCCCATCTATGGGGAGCTCGTTTGCTGTGTGACTGGCTATTCACACTGGCTTGCCTTTGCCCTTCCTGTTCGCTGTGCCTGGAAGGCCTTGCTACTTCCTCTTCTACACGTCTAATTCCCATTTCTTTAATTTTAGGATGAGATCATTATTCCTCCAGGAAGCCTCCTCTAGTCCTTCCCTGATGAATTATGATGCTTTTTCAGTGGCTCCACAGCTGTGATTCCTTTGTTGTTAAATTTACACACCATCTGAAAAGTGGCTACCTCCCCTACTATGTCATCATCTCCACAGGGCAAGGACAGATTCATTTTTTTCAGTGTTTACTACAGAAGCAACACACTGTGGGCACAGAATAACATTTGTTGAACTGTTAAAGGGACACTGAAGATGATAATGTTGGACTAGATCATCTCTGACACATCTTCGAGCTTAGAGTTTCATGAGACCTCACAGAAAACTGTCCATTCGGCCCTCACAGACAACAATCCTTGTAAATTCCCTGATGGTGATGCTGCTCGCTCAGTGTTCTCTAGAGGCAGCGGGAGTGACCCCCGTTTCTGACACTATTAGTCCAACCATTCAGAGAACTCCTTCCTAGGTCAAGAAGCCTACAAGGGCTGGATTAATGCAAAAATTTTCTTTCTTAAAACATGGCTTAGCTGGTTATAAATTAAAGGAATAAATCTGGGGCCAGAAATTATCCCACAGGGCCAGCAAGCGCTGCATTGGGGGCTCACCATGAAGGGGTCTACTGACCTGCTGGCTTAGAGCTTGGTTTTGATGGTGTTCAGGTAACAAAAGATGAGCCTAAGGCCTGAGAATGTTGGGAAATTAGAATGAAACCCCTGTATAAGGTCAGGATCCCCAAAAGATGACCCCATTAGAGAATGAACAAGAAATAAAACCATTCTTCAGAAAGAGGTTGCCTTGTTCTACTCTTGGCTCCATTTAGGGTTGGAGTAGGAAACAGCGAAGAAAAAAATTCTCTGAAAATTTCTAACCACAAGCTCACATTCATGTGTGGTCTGAATTTAGTTTAAAGTGGACTTAGGTCAATAGCTCCTCTAGGCATCTTGCAGAAGCAAACATAAATTTGCTCTGGAGGAATGCACTTTAAATGAGGACCTCACAAGTTCTTTATCATAAATCATTAGGCACACAGGAAATAAGCCACCACATGTGGTAGTCAGCATTGACAAGCAAAGTCCATGGATATTAGAATTATAAATTGCAGAATATAAAATAGGTTTAAGAAAAAAAAAGAAGAGGGGCCGGCCCCGTGGTGTAGTGGTTAAGTGCGCACATTCCACTGCGGTGGCCCAGGGTTTGGATCCCAGGCACGCACCAACGCACTACTTGTCAAGCCATGCTGTGGTGGCATCCCATATAAAGTGGAGGAAGATGGGCACAGATGTTAGCCCAGGGCCAGTCTTCCTCAGCAAAAAAGAGGAAGATTGGTGACAGATGTTAGCTCAGGGCTGATCTTCCTCACAAAAAAAAAAAAGAAAAGAAAAAGAGATTGAAAGGATATTGAAGATACACGAATATCAAAATTGAATACAAAGATTTCAGAAAATGAAAAATAGAATAAGGGCCAGCCCCGTGGCTTAGCGGTTAAAGTGTGCACGCGCCGCTACTGGCGGTCCAGGTTCGGATCCCGGGCGCGCACCGACGTACCACTTCTCCGGCTATGCTGAGGTGGTGTCCCACATACAGCAACTAGAAGGATATGCACCTATGATATACAACTATCTACTGGGGCTTTGGGGGAAAAAAAAAAAAGGAGGAGGATTGGCAATAGATGTTAGCTCAGGGCTGACCTTCCTCACAAAAAAAAAAAAAATAGAATAATCAAAATTAACTTAATGGATGGATTAAACAGCCATTAGACAAAGCTAAACAAAGAATCAGCATTTTGGAAAATATATTTGAAGAAATTACCAAAACATTAGTAGAGAAACAAAGAAAAGGAAAACATACAAGACATGAAGACACAAAGAGTAGTGTGAGAAGGTCCCACATTGGTGGACTTAAAGTTCCAAAAGGAGAGAGCAGGAGGATGGGGGAGAACCAAATTTTCAAAGAAAAAATAGCAAAACATTCCCACCACTGAATAAAGACACAGATTCTCAGACTCCGGAAATCAAATGAACCCAAACCTAGATACAGAGTGAAACTGCAGGACATCAGAGTTGAGGAGACGCTCTAGAGCCAGGGAGAAAGCACTAATCACCACAGACTGAGAACTGATTCATCAGCAATAACAACAGAAGCTAGGGGGGGAAATAAAATAACATCTTCAGGTGCTAAAAGTAAATAATTCTCAACCAAAGATCATATGTCCAGAAAAAAAACCTTTGAAGACTGAGACTGAATTAAAGAGCTTTTCAGACAAACAAAAACTGAGAGTTCACTACAAGCAGTTTCTAATGTAAACAAATCCTTTAAAAAAGATTTATTTTGGGGAAAAGAAAAATTAATAACATACAATTAAGGTAAAACTAAAATCCTGTATGACAATAGCACATAACTTGGGAGCAATTAAAGTATTCCAAACTGCATATATTATTTGGGAGGAGGAAGTTATTGATTAACTTTAAGCTTTCTTAAATTAAATATATATGAAAAATTTCTAGGTTATCACTAAAAGAATTAAATATAATATATTATCTTCCAAACTAGTAGGAGGAGGGAGGATGAAATAAGAAAAAAATTCTAAATCAATTCAAAAGAAGGTCGGGGTGGGGAGTGGAAGGGACACATGGGAAGATCTGGTGAAGGAGAAAGCCCTAATGAGATGGCAGAATTACATTCAAATGTTGTGCATTAATAATCACAGTTAACGTAATTCGGCTAATCTCTTTCATTAATAGACAAAGATTATCAGAACAGATAACAAGAAAAAGTCACATGTGTCTTATTTTTTTTTAAAGATTTTATTTATTTTAAAGATTTTATTTATTTTATTTTTTCCCCCCAAAGCCCCAGTGGATAGTTGTGTGTCGTAGCTGCACATCCTTCTAGTTGCTGTATGTGGGACCCGGCCTCAGGATGAACGGAGAAGTGGTGCCTCGATGCGCACCCGGGATCCGAACCCGGGCCACCAGCATCGCAGCGCGCGCACTTAACCACCAAGCCACAGGGCCGGCCCACATGTGTCTTATTTATAAAAGATACTCCCAAAACATAGGTATACAGAAAAGTTTAATAAAAGAATGAGAAAAGGTGAGGAGTTGTTGTTTAACAAACACAGAGTGTTAATTTTGCAAGAAGAAAAATTTCTGGCAATTGTTTGCACAACAATGTGAAGACACAATACCACTAAACTGTACATTTAAAAATGTTTAAGATGGTAAATTTAATGTTATGTGTATTTTACCACAATTGAAAAAATTTTTAAAGCATGAGAAAGATATGCAAGGCAAATACCAACCAAGGGAGAATGAAACTAATGTTGTTTACTAAATGCTGTTATTTTTAATATAACAATTTTATATTACATACATTATTAAATATTTAACAAAGGAAAAATATACTAGAGATAAAAAGGTCTGCTTCATACCGATAAAAGGTTTAATTCACCAGGAAATATAACATTTCTAAACTTGTATATACTCAGTAACATATTTTCAAAATATATGAAGCAAAAAATTCACCATCATCACCATCATTCACCATTATGGGAGATTTTAAGACACACACCCCAGGAAAGAATGGGTTGAGCAGATGAGAAATCATTATGAATTTAGAATACATGAACATACAGTCAATAAGCTTAATCTTGTGGACACTGTAAAACACTGTACCCAGAAACGGGAGAATACACCTTCCTTTGCAGACCACATGGAATATTCATCAAAACTGACCACAATATAAGCCATTAGTCTCAACAAAAATTAGCATCACGAAGACCACATTCTCTGATCATAACCAAGTGAGAAATCAATCATGAAATTTTTTTTTTAATATTTGGAGCCTAGAAGGAAGCAGATATCAGACTACATATTTTATCATGTGGCACAGCTTTAAGGGCATTATCTGCTGCTTTCAGAGTGTTGGGAATTTAGGCAGCGCAGTAAATAGCACTTTTTAAAAAAATTTCCTTGAATATATTCAAAAGGCATTTTCCTATATAAAATACTCTACTTTCCCCATTACGCCAAAGAAATCCAATAAATAACTTTACTCTAGGGTCCTGATGAGAACTGTGAGCAACCAGCAGGCCCCGGGCACGGGCCGCGGCCCCCGAGCAGCTGCCGCGGTGCAGGTGTCAGAGGGCACCACCACCACCACCAGCTGGCCTGTAGTTTTGTTTTTGTAGTTTCCCACTTGAATTTGGAACTAATTGAGAAATTACATAAGGAGTCAGGCAGAGGTAGATAAAATGATCATTTTATTAAGAATAAAGCTTTTTGGCGAACGTGGCTTAGGTATGTAAAAGTGGGGTCGTGAATCTGCTCCTCTGAATTTTACATGCGACCTCCAAGTGCAGGCAACACCCACAGGACAGAGCCTGCCCCCGAGCTTGCTGCTCGGTCAAGGGTAAACCAGTGTGCGTGCTCAAGGGTAGACCAGTGTGCGCGCTCTCTGCGGGCAGGCAGGCCCAAAGAGGCCTGAGGAGAGGCTCAGGTGCACAGGCCCAGTTGCTGTTCACAAACTCACAATCCTGCATCCCCTTCACAGGAAGGGAAGAGCCAGTGGGTTAAAGAGATGAGAAGAGCCGTCTTCTGTACACACCCCTCCACATGGAAGCATGGAAGGACTGACGAGAATCCCCTAATACTAAATGCAAGGGAAACTTGCAGTCTTGATGAGAATGGGGGCAGGGGGGCCACATAAAGGGGACACAATATTCTTAGCGTCTTTACCTCCTTCCTGGAGCTGAGCTGTGATGTTGAGTTCACACTGCACCTTAGCTCTCAGCACAAGGACGACCTGCTCCTCTATGGTAATGGTGCCATCAGAGTCCAGCTGAGAAACAAACAAAACACAAACATTCCCATTATCCTTTTTTTTTTTTTTGGTGCAGAAGATCAGCCCTGAGCTAACATCTGTTGCCAACCCTCCTCTTTTTGCTGAGGAAGATTGGTCCTGGGCTAATATCCGTGCCCATCTTCCTCTACTTTATATGTGGGAGGCCTGCCACAGCATGGCTTGATAAGCAATGCATAGGTCTGCACCCAGGATCCGAACCCATGAACTCCAGGCCACCGAAGAGGAGCATGCAAACTTAACCACTACGCCACTGGGCCGGCCCCATCATTATCTTTTTTTTTAAGCCATAATACAAACTTTCATTATTTTACCTTCTAATATCATTGAAAATAAAAGTTTTGATATCAAGCTATCTGAAATAATCCTTTATCTGAATCAAATTCAAAATCCATCAATGTATAAGATTTTAGAATAATCTTACTTTCACCTGATTTGTCTACAGAAAAAAATCTCATACCAGAATTTTTTAACATAATTAGGTAATTGTATCAGATATAATTGGAAAAAATAATAAACAGATTAAAAATTTCCTAGAATGTTATGAAGACCCAATATTTTATTAATTCTCTTGCAATATGTCAGTTACAGCAAATAGAAAGAGAATGGACCAGAAGACTAAATCTAGCTCTACTGAAAAGTTACCAGTGAAACCTTGGGCAAATCACTCAATGTGACTTTATTGAGATATTACTGACATATAACATACATAAGTTTAAGGTGTACCATGTGATGCTTTGATACACGTACATATTGTGAAATGATTACCACAATAAGGTTAGCCAACACCTCCATCCCCTCAATAATTATCATTCTTTTTGTGTGGTGATAACATTTAAGATCTACTCTCTTAACACCTTTCAAGTATATAATACAGTATTGCTAATTATAGTCACCATGTTGTTCATTAGATCTCCAGAACTTGTTCATCTTATAGCTGGAAGTTCTTACCCTTTGACTAACATCTCCCCATTTCCCCCACCCCAACCTCTGGCAACTACCATTCTACTCTTTATTTCTAAGAGTTCAGCTTTTTTAGATTTCACATACAAGTGAGAACATACAGTATTTGTCTTTGTCTGTCTGACTTATTTCACTTAGCATAACTCCCCCAAGTTCCATCGATGTTGTAGCAAAGGGCAGAATTTCCTTCTTTTTATGGCTGAATAATATTCCATTGAAGTATATATACCATCTTTTCTTCATCCATTCATCCATCAACACTTAGGTTTCTTCCATGTCTTGGCTTATGTAAATAACGCTGCAATGAACATGGGGATGCAGATATCTCTTCCAGTTAGCAATGTCATTTCCTTCCTTGATGTCATTTACCCAGAAGTGGAATTGCTGGCTCATGTGGCAGTTCTATTTTTAATTTTTTGAGGAACTTCTATACTGTTTTTCATAGTGGCTGCATCAATTTGCATTCCCACCAACAGAGCTCAGTGGTTCCCTTTTCTTCACATCCTCACCAAGACTTGTTATCTCTTGTCTTTTTGATGATAGCCATTCTAACAGGTGGGAGGTGGTATCTCATTGTGGTTTTGACTTGCATTTCCCTGATGATTAGTGATGTGGAGCATCTTTTCGCCTATCTATTGGCCATATGCATGTCTTCTTTGGAAAAATGTCTATTCAAATCCTTTCCCATTTTTCAATTGGATTGTTTGGTTTTTTGCTATTGAGTTGTATGAGTTCCTTATATATTTTGGATGTTAACCCCTTATCAGATATATGATTTGAAATATTTTCTCCCATTCAGTAGGTTGCCTTTTCATTTGTGGATGATTTATTTTTCTGTGCAGAAGCCTTTTAATTTAATGTAGTCCCACTTGTTTATTTTTGCTTTTGTTCCTTGCATTTTTGGTGTCATATCCAAAAAATCATTGCCAAGACCAATGTCAGGAGCTTGTTCTCTATGTTTTCTTCTAGTAGTTTTACAGCTTTGAGTCTTCTATTTAAGTCTTTAATCCATTTTGAGCTAATTTTTGTGAGTTGTGTAAGATAGGGTCCAATTGCATTCTTCTGTATGTGAATACCCAGTTTTCTCAACACCATTTATTGAAAAGACTATCTTTTCCCCAGTGAGTATTCTTGGCTCCCTGGTCAAATATTAGTTGACCATGCATGTATGGGTTTATTTCTTGGTGCTAGAGTCTGTCCCATTCATCTATGTGTCTGTTTTTATGCCAGTAACAACTGTTTTGATTACTATATCTTTGTAACATAGTTTGAAATCAGGGATTGTGATGCCTCCTGCTTTGTTCTTTCTCGGGATTGCTTTGGCTATTCAGATCTTTTGTGGTTCCACATGAATTTTAGGATTTTTTTGTTCTCTTTCTGTGAAAAATGTTACTGGAGTTTTGATGCGGATTGCATTGAATCTGTAGATTGCTTTGGGTAGTATGGACATTTTAACAATATTAATTCTTCTGATCCATTAACATGGTATATCTTTCCATTTATTTGTGTCTTCTTCAATTTCTTTCATCAACGTCTTGTAATTTTCAGTGTACAGATCTTTCACTTCCTTGGTTAAATTTACTCCTAGGTACTTTACTATTTTTGATGTTATTATAAATGGAATTGTTTTCTTTATTTCTTTTTCAGATAGTTCATTGTTACTGCATAGAACTACAACTGATTATTGCATGTTGATTTTGTATTCTGAAACTACTGAATTCATTTATTAATTCTAAGTTTTTTGGTGGAAACTTTAGGATTTTCTATATATATGGTCATAGCATCTGCAAACAGAGACAATTTTACTTCCTCCTTTCTGATTTCCTCTTATTTCTTTTTCTTGCCTACTTGCTCTAGCTAGGAATTCCAGTACATGTTGAATAGGGGTGGTGAGAGTGGGACCACTTATCTTATTCCTGATCTTATAGAAAAAGCTTTCAACCTTTCATCACTGAGTACAATGTTAGCTGTGGGTTTGCCCTTTTTGTCTTAACACTGTGACGCTATCACAGTAAGATATGCACCAACATATCCATCATCCATTCAATCAATATTTGTTAAATACTTTTTACATAAAAAATAATATTGATATTATAGTAAAGACTTTCATTTTCAAATATTTTTATGTAGTACATTTTCTTCAAACAAAACACTTCATGAGAAAATTCCAACTATTAAAAATATGTACATAATAGCAGAACTGCCCCAGCTGAAGCCTAGGGGAGAGTGATTGCAGAATCACACTGTCTCACTAATTTGAACCTTCCTATTTACCTGAACCTGTTCTGAAAAGCCACAGAGATTCTCAAAGCATTGCTAGAAAACTACTATTAATATGAATATAAAAAGGAACAGCAGCATTTTATAGGATATCTTTCTACTAGATATCTTTCAATAGATACTTTGATACCCATTCCCACCCTGGAGCATGTTTCTAACATACTACAAGTGAATAATAAATGCTTGTTGGATGAATTCACCTAGATTTGGCTTTAACACAACCAGTAGTGGAAAGGAAATTCTATTATTGGAAAACCTTAATTTCAATAAAATATATTTTAAACATGATAAGTGCTTGCTGAAAGTATGGAGCTTGGACCACCTGAATCTGATGCCCATATAAAATGTAGATTCTTAGGCTGCACACCAGACACAGTTAATCACAATTTATTTCTGGAGGTGGAGACTGGTAGCCCTCATATTTCTCAAGAACCCCTGGTGAGTCTTGCACTTACTTTAAGGGGTTTGAGAACCAACATATTTGAAGGTATGAGATAATGGTGAAGATCACTCTATTACTCAAGGTTCAATCAGAGAAGCAGAACTACTGAGAGAGTAAGAAAGATCATAAAGAAAGAGAGAGAGGTAGAGACAGAAGTAGAATGAAGTATCTGTTACAGGGACCTGAACTTACACAATTTGGGAGCTGGTTAAATAATCTGTGGAAGGCTATTATTTTTGTCTGGTGCTGGAGCTGGAAATCTGCAGGTCAGACAGTCAAAAAAAGAAGATGAGTGTAAAGAGAGAGAGTAAGAACAAGCCACAAGCACGAGCATGAGCTGGTAACCACCACAAGGACCAACAGATCCATGTTAATTCTCTGTGTGTCCAGCCCTGATGATGCAGGTATACAGCAGCAGAAGCTGGCAACCTATGTCCTGGACGTAAACACGCACTGGGCCCAGGAATCAGAGAAGTTACAGGAGGACCCAGGGAAACGGGGAGCAGTTGCAGGCCTGGCAACTGAGCCAGCAGAAAAGCAGTAACATGTGTGAGATACTAAAGTGTCTGCCCTGACCTTCTGAGTGTAAAAAACAAAATGGCTGCTGCTTCACCTCTGCCTCCAACGCTCATGAACAACCGTTTCTGTGGCTCACCCCAACTAGAAACACAAAAGTAAGGGGATTCTGGGAAATATAGCTGAACACAGCCAAGTCGACCCATTACAAAGCCACCAAAATCCACCTCTGTCAACCTGGCTCTCATACACATCTCTTTAAACCACACTTAATTTCCAAAAAGTTCAATAACAAAGTCGTGCTTCCATCTAACATGATAAAATTTTAATTTGGTACCAAGAGGGATTCCAGAGGAACAGATTTTTAAGGAGAGAAAAATCTGTATTTGTCATGTATAGCTGTGTAAGAAATTAACCAAAACTTTGTGGCTTAAAACAACAAACATTAATTATCTCACAGCTTGGGAGAGGGCTAGCTGGGTGGTTCTGGCTCAGAGTTCCTTGTGAGGTTGCAGTCAAGGCTTCAGCCATAGATGCTGTCCCCTAAAGACTTGACTGGAACTAGAGGGTCCACTTCCAGGATGGACCACCACATGGCTAGTGGCAGGGGCCTCAGTTCCACAGTGGCTGATGGGAGGAAGCCTCGGGTCCTCACCACATGGTTCTCTCTACATGGGTGCGTCTACATAGGGCAACTGGCCTCCCACAGGTTGAATGAGTCCAGAGAGAAAGCAGGGAGGAAGCCACAGTGCCCTTTATTATCTAGTCTCAGACGTCC